GCTTTGTGTCTATGTCTGTCCACCTGTCCATCCGTCCATCCATCCATCCATCCATGTGTGAAGTTGTTGGAGCTTAGCTCCATCTATCAAGTATGTATGCATGTATGCATGTATGTATGTATATATGTATGTAAAGTTGTTGGAACTTGCTGGAACTTGCTCATTGGAGCTTGTTTCATCCACCATGAGTGTGTGATTGTGTGCCTGCTTTATATCCTTGCTGACCCCACATCCCCTCCTTAGATCACTGAACACATTGTCAGAGATGGCTTTGACACTCACAAAATAAAACATTTGATTGGGGCTCACTTATAGTTTCCAAGCTTTATTTCACTTTCATCATGGTATGGGGCATGGTGGCATGCAGGCAGATGTGGTGCTGGAGAAGTACCTGAGAGTTCCACATTTGGATGCACTAGAAGCAGCAATAGCCAGACACTGGGCTTGGAGAATTCCATGAAGTGCTTTGCCAGCCTTCTAGGGCTAACATGGAATGTATTCATGTTGAGGAATAACAGACTCAGCAGAGAAAGGGAGATGAACTGTGAATATCAAATATGGAAATTAAAAAGACTAAAACCAAAATTTTCTGTTTCTATTTGAGAGTCGACCAGATCAACCAGAAGACAAAATTAAAGAAATCTGGGAGAGGAAGAAAGGGGATTCCTAGTAGAAAACAAATGGGACAAATACAGTTGAATCCGTGCTTACCCTAGAATATATGACTCCTGAATTCTGAAAAGACAAATATAAAAAGTCTCTTACTTTAGCTGAGGTTATATATTACAGGGTGGCATTCTCAAATCCACTGTTTTGCTTCCCTGGGAGAATGTATGAATGGAGAGAAATCCCTGCATTCTCATCACAGTGTGAATGGTACTGTCTTCAGCTAACCAGAAAAATCTGTCAGAGGGGCAGACAAGAGTTGGAATATGCAGAAACCAGGAGATGAAAATCCCAGAGAACAGCATATTAACAAGCACCTGGCATGCAGTAAGCTTTAGGGAAGTGGAGCTCACAGTGTTACATGCTTGCTGGTATATATAAAAAACTCATGTATTTGTGTGCATGTCTGTTTATAATGTTGTTAATAGTTGAAGTTATTTTTTTAAATTATTACTACTTTTTTTTTTTTTACAGTCCAGCTGTTACCCACCTCCAGATCTGCTCTCCCACAGTTCTTCAACCCATTCCTCCTCCCCCATGTCTCCAAGAAGATGTCCCCATCCTACCACCCCAGACTCCACTCCCTGGGGCCTCAAGTCCCTGGAAGTGAGGATATCTTTCTAATGAGCCCCTACACTTCCCTGGAGAATTTTCTTTCTTTAGCCTTTGTAGGGTAAAAGGTCCAAGCTCATCTCCAGGTTTGAAACCCCACCAGCCTCCACCAATCCTGCGTTTGAAAACCAATCATTCCCTAAGCCCCAAAATACTACCAATACTTGAACTCCAAAATTCACCAGTCGGTGAGCTTGAAAACTCACCAATCCCTGAGCTCCTCACCCCCAAACCACAAATCTATGGGCTAGTTCCAAGTTCAGGACTTAAGCCCCACCAGTCTTCACCCTGGAAATTTCCACCTTGGAAAACTCCTCCAAGAAACTCTGTCTCCTGCCCAGTTTCCTGCTGCTTCTTACCCTTGAACAGAGGCAGCCACCATCTGTGGCTATCCCAGTAAGTCTCTTGAGTGAGGTTTGTTGTGCAATGTGACTTTGTACTATTCCTTGACTCTTGACTGCCAGGATAACTTTCCCTTCAGAGCTTCAACACTCCCAATTGGGGAAACGTTTTTCCTCAGAGCTGTAACATTTATGGGATCTACAAAATAAATCCTACAGAATATATTTGCATATTTGCTTCTCCAGTCACAGTGATTTCATCCAATAAAGTGAGATCTCATGGGTAGACTTCTCTTGGGTAAATTTGACCACAAGTGTTTACCAAGAAACAGTTCATATCAGGGTCACTGAGGATAAAGCAACCATGTACTAACAGAGGATACAAAGAAGATAGATTCCAAATGAGGGAAAAATTCCAAATCCTTTCCCACATCTTTCTGATACCCATTTGGTTTCCCTTAATTTTTACCTTTGAAGTACATATTGACCATTTAATGGTCTATGATGTTTCTTATGTACAAATTGTTTTCATGTACTGCTATTGTAGGAGATATGTCTTCAAAAACAATGGGTTCTAGAATGTTACTAGCTCCCCCACACTAACTACACATTCACAATCTCTCTCAACCACCTAAGTTCTGCCAAAAATTAGAAGAACATTACTGCATTTTTATGATTAGCTGAGAGAATTGCAGGTCAGTGTTATGACTCGTGAATGTTATAGTATTTCAGAAGCAGAGCCAGGATGCTGTCCTGTTTGAAGCCAGCTTGACTACTCAGAAAGGCACAGTCCCCCAGCCCCTCCCCAAATAGAGCGTTGGCCTTTGTTCTTCAAGAATTTGTAAACCTAAAAGGAGTGAGTATTCATCAGGAGGTCTTAAGGGCAACATAGAATCACATAAGGTTTTACAACATTCCTATTTGTAGTCTTTTTGACAAGTTTCTGTGCAACAGTGAACAAAATTGAATATCAGACCTTGTAGAATTTGAAATAGTTGAATATCCTTAATGGAATTTGTTGAGAATTGATTTCAATATAAATAGAAAAGTAGTATTTGCTTGACATACAACTTACATAAAAGCCAAAAGATGATTTGATAAGATGATCAGAATATATTATATGAAAATATTTTTCAAAAAAGATGTTTTAAATAATTTTTGCATGAAGGAAAGTTTTTGCATAATGAATCACTGTAAGAAGTCTTACATAGCTAAATGTTTCTCTGCATTTTAACAATATTTAACAATAACACTACAGCACTGAGTTCCTCCAATTTAGAGTGATCAAGCTTAAGATCTTCATTTCTCATCACTGTTATTACAGGCATGAAAAATCAGATCTAGTGCGACTAATTATTTGTTCTGATAAGATGTGTGAGCAAACTTATATTGTTAGTCTTAATAAACCTTTAAAGTGTTAGTTTTCCTTTTCATTATCATGTACAAATCTTCTAGAACAATGCATTACACTGTGAGGTTTTCATACATGCACACTACAGACCTTGATACTCAGTATTTTTATTCCTTCTATAAGTAGTGTGTCAGCAACTACTTAGGTGCCAAACACTTCTAAATTTGTTCCCTTAAGCATCCAGAACAGGTGTTAAACATTGTAGTTATAGTTTCTTCTTTTCCTTGGTTTTCTTGATGTAGTCATTTATCAAGCTTTCTTTCAGGATTTGATAGTCTATATTTTCCTTGATGTAGACTATAAGCAGTGTATTTTAAGATTGCTGTACTTTTGTGTGTATTTGAGTGTGTGTTTGCATGTGTGCCACCCTGAATGTTTGGATATCATAACAATGTTCAGGAGCCAGTTCTCTGCTCTGTTTCTGATGAACTACTCCAGGCTAGATATGATGCCTGAAGTCCAATCCCTTGGGATTTGAAACAAGAGCATCTTCACAAGTTGGAAGACAGTCTGGTCCACATCCCACGTTTCAGTCCAGGCAGGGTACACACACACAGTAGGATCTGTCACACACACACACACACACACACACATACAAATTTAAAAAACGCTCAAAATCTAATCAGCAAAATTATTAATCCATATTTTTAAACCTATTCATGGCTTTCCTTGTGACATATTATGAATTGTTTATATCTGACCTCCTAACAACTATTTTATTATTTCCTCTCTCTTGTAGTCTTTAACATCCTCATGTTCTTCTTTAATGGTCCATCTACTGCTTTTGTGTTGTCTTTTTTGTTTTCAGATTGTGCTTTCCACAAATGAGTGAAAGTATGTGGTAGCTTTTTTTCAGGTAAAACATTAATATGAATGGGGATTGCACTGTTCCTCTTATGAATGTTAAGATGTTGAAAGAAACATTTTCATCATAGAGGAAATGAGAGATGTCCTAATGACCTCCAAGAGTTAAACTGTTGGAACAGTGTCTCTGACTCATCAATAGTGGATGATCACTCTGGTGGTCTCTGACAGGAGCTAGTGTGATCCTGAGTCTTGGGAATGTTTGCACTTGTGAATGTAGGCTTTCATCTGAATCTTTTCACAGAACTTTAAAGGTTCCTTTTCATACTGCTTGCATCCTTTGTATACTGTTGCTACAATGTAATTACACACACACACACACACACACAGATACACATACCTCACAATGAATGATTGTATCCTTCTTGGTATATTTTAATTTTCTTGCCTTGATAGTGTTCTTGTCTTTTTGGATGGTTACAAAATTAGTGCTCTGAATATTCCAAAGGAGACTACTCTTTTATTGTACATTCCAAATGATTTTGATAGTAGCCATATAGTTGTTAGGTCAGGTAAAAAGTCCCCCAAGACAATGGATTTGTAACAGTCCAAATCCTCTCCAATCCCTGATTCTAATCAGTTCATCAGCCTCACAAAAGGTTCAGGTTTAGGTCACCGGCATCACCCTGGAGCTTATATGCCAGGTCCCTTTTCCTGATCCTGTGTCCAAAGTGACGTAGGGACCTCTCCTACCGTGTAATCACGTCTTTTGTTCCCAAAGTACTGAATCTCTTTACTACCTCATTAATCTTGTTGCACTATTTGTAAGTGGAAAACCCCACCATGTTCCACCATACACACCACCAGGAAAGCTGCTCCAAAAACCCTGACCGTATTTTTCTCAAATACTTGATTACTCCAGATTGGATCAGGTTTATCACAGAAGGAAAACAGGTTTATCCCAGAACAAGTAACTGAAACCTGTCTATCTGGCTGTAACCCAGCAAGGAAAAGATGTTCTCCTGGTTATAAGATGATCCCTATTCTGCAACCCAACCGCCCCGCAGCTCCGCTTATCATTCTCCAATCAGGAATGCTGTTATGACTTAGAATAAACGGTCCAATGAGAAGCATGGATATTCGGAAGGTGCGGCGTTTGCCGCCATGTTTAAGTCCCGAGAAGCCCTTGAGAGGTGTGCTCCATAGACCTTGTTGACTGTGCTTTCACTTAGGGAGGACACCTGGATGCGTCGGAAGCAGAAGATGGTAAGTGTGTCCTGGGCCCTGTGAATCGTTTGTGGCGGGTTTGTGACACTGCGGTGGCTTTGGCATAATGTGGCGCTGCCGCCCTGACCTTCCCCTGGCGCAGTGCAGCTGAATGTGGCCTGGAGTCTGACACCAGCGCCGGCTTCCCACCTGCTCTTGAATTGTGTGCAGAGCAGGCAACAGGGAGTCTGGGGTCCTGTCCTGTCGCCGTGAAGTTGTTTTACTGTAGTCCAGGTCTTGACAGAATGAGTCCGGGTCACAAACTTGAGCTGCTGCAGACATTACAGCGCTGGCAGGTTAGTGTGCTGCAGACATTACAGCGCTGGCAGGTTAGTGCTGCTCAGACACCAAGCTGTGCTGCGCTGGGCGTGAGTTCTATTTTCCCGTCCTTGCACACCCACTCGACCTGCTTTAGTTTACCCCTGTGATCCTTCTGGGTTCTTTTAAAAATTTCTCTTTAGTCTTGAAAATTTTATGCATTTATTCAATGAAATCTGATCATATCCACCCCTATTTCTCATTCCAAGCCCTATATATTCCTAATACGCCTCTCTTCCAGCTTCATTTATTATTATTATTGTTATTATTGTTATTATTACACTAGTTAGTTTTGCCATTATGTGCATGGGTGTTTGGAAAGAGAATCCTATCAGTGGCTACTTCCTCTAAACAGAACGATCCTCCAAAAATACTGTTGATTGCCAGTCACTACTTAGTAAGTGATGGGCCTGGACAGCACCTCTCCACCTCTGTGCTTGATTTTGTGCAGGTAACCACAGCTTCTAAGTACAATAACCCTGCCATGTCCAGGAGACAGCATTTCGCAGAACTCTTCTGTGTCCAGAAGACAGCTTATTCCACAGTATTCCTCTCTATCCTCTCTGGCTCCTATGTTCCTTCTGCTTCCTCTTCTGAGATGCTCCCTGAGCACTGGTGGAGGCAGCTAGATGTCCCATTTACAACTGAGCACTTTGTCTCTTAATGTCGGCATTTTTGACCTTTTATGCATCTTTTTTTTGACTGCTCCTTGAATGAAAAAAAGAAAAAGGAAGGACCTGACTGTTTCTAGGTGTGGTGGAGAAGAAAGTTTATTGCAGATAAAAAGGAGAGCATAGCCAGAGTCTGAGATATCTGGGAAGAGTCCACATCACACTCTGGGAGAGTGGACATGACCCCGAGCCCTGTGAGAAGGGGGAAGAGAAAGGAGAGGAGAGAGAGGGGCAACTGGGTGCAGCAGCCAGGAGGCCAAAGGTACAAAGGTGAGTGACCAAATGGTTGAATTATATAGGGAATAGCAGCCCAGCACCTTGGTCTGGAGAGTTCAGAGTAGGCAGTGATATGCCTTCCAGGAGGGCCCATACAAGGTAGGTGCTGAGGGATGCTGGGTGAATCTGGTGATGAGTATCTGCTTTGATATTAAGTAGGCACTTCAGCCATTTGTCCCAGGATTTGAGACAGAACACTTTGTGTCTTTGATCAAGATTGCATGCTACTGGCCAGGTCTATAAGTGTAAACATAAATATTTATAAGGCACGTTGGCAGCATAACCGTTTAGCAAAATAACAAAATCAGGCACTGTCCTACACAGCCTATGACCTCCCCAGCCATTGGCTTTTGACCATTATTATAGTACCAGGCATGCAGTTTTATCCTGTGGAGTAGGCCTTAAATACATTTTAACGTGGTTAGTTACCCTTGTAACATTTGTGGTACTATTACTCTTGCCTGGGAGATCAGTATTGCCACACTGATCCAGCACTAGGTAAGTAAGACTATTTATGCCTTGTCTCACCTCAGCAGCCTGCATAGCACCTTCTGGAATCTTGAAAGCTAGACAGTGGCAAGGATTTCTTATGTCCAAAGTTTGCAGCCAAAGTTTGTGGTTTCTTCAGCAATATTATTTTACGGCATAGGTGTGGTGGTGACCAAAAGCAATGACAGTAGTCTGTGCTGTTTGGAAATCCCTGCTCGCTCTTTACAGTGTTGCCGCATCACAGAACATATTTCTACTGTCTTTGTATTATGTAATAATAGAGGAACTCCCTCTTTCATTTCATTGGTTTTCTAAACATGAAAAATAATGCAGAATAATTTCTTGGATAATACATTCACATACACTGATCAGTTTCTAAGCAATCTTTATAATACTACAAGTATTGGCATTTTTATGAAAATTTGTGTTTTAATCAACTAATAGTATGGTATTTATTTCTATGTTTACATGGTGGGCAATAGGGGAGATGCTAATATGTTATAGCTGTGGATGTCTGAGGACAGCTTGTAAGCATCTGCTCTCTCCATACCATGTAGATCCCAGATACCTACCCAGGTCACCATGCAGGTGGCAGGCACCTTAACTGCCCAAGCCACCAGCCCCATCTTTCTTTCTTACATGTTAAAATAGACGAGGTTACATGGATTACAAAAAAGGATTCTTCTGGTCATGGTGGCCAATCCCAGTGTTTAGGAGGCAGAGGCAGCTCAATCTCTAAGCTGAAAGCTAACATTATCTAGTTGGTCTAGGGTAGTGGGTTCTAGGTGAACCAAAGCTACAAAGTCAGACTCTGTCTCCAAACAAATAAACAAAAGAAACAAACAAACGAAAAAAAGAATGGATTCTTTTTCTATTGAGTAGCATAAATCCATTATATCTGTTATAGCTTAACCCTCAAGTTTTCTTGTTAATTATTAGTTTAGATAACCTACCTAGAAACCGGGCGGTGGTGGCGCACGCCTTTAATCCCAGCACTTGGGAGGCAGAGGCAGGCGGATTTCTGAGTTTGAGGCCAGCCTGGTCTACAGAGTGAGTTCCAGGACAGCCAGGGCTACACAGAGAAACCCTGTCTCGAAAAACCAAAAAAAAAAAAAAAAAAGATAACCTACCTAGAACTGAGTATGGAGTAGTATGTTACTGTGTAGAGATGTATTGACATTTGATGACCTTTAGCGTTTCATGAATGAAATTGAGAGTTTCCACATTTGCTGCATAGGTATTTATATTTAATACATTTTGATAGATTGTTTTTATGTAATGTTTTCTGACTAATTCTGGTTTGGTGAAAGACCAGACTATATTAACTTCTTTGTGTTTGGGTAGCTAATTTTGGTATGTTTAATTTTAGTCTGGTGACAGGCTAAACTTCCATGGTTTGGTTAGTTTGAAATGTTAGTTCTCCACCCAGGCCAGGGATTTCATCCTATTGACCAGAAAGAGCTACTTTTAGTTTTGTATCATCCACAACAAATACACACAACCACACCACCACCCTTCTCAAAACCCCAGATTTCATCTCAAAAGAGGTAAGAGATAGTGTTATTCTAGAGCAAAATATGAGTATTCAAGACATGAGAAATGAGGAGCTAGGTTACCCTGGTTCCATGCTCCCACGTGGAAGTAATTTCATGAGGTTTATAATAGTAGAACAAAAGTCATAAAAACTATTTTAAAATACATAGATGGGTACATTTGAGACTTGGTTATTGGGAAATGGAGAATAACATATAGGTCTCAGATGTTGTCTGATGATATTCTTATTTTCAAGATTGGTAGAAGCCATTGATCGGCTAAGTTAATAAGTTCCAAGAGGTTTTTTATCTATTAGTCACAGGATGATCTGTGACTAATTCTGACTAGTTCTGACATAGAGATGGACAAGGAATGGCTATTTAGGGGTGCAAAAGCTATCCCAGGATACAGTATAATTAGGCTCTGACTTTCTACACCATTGTAGTTCTAATCAATTGTCTTTGTAGACAGAGCTTCTTTTTAGGAATTCCCATTCACACCCTTAATGGTACTTTATTAAGCTGCCATGTTTTAATGTCTTTTGTGTTTGTATATACATTTGTCTAGATTTACAGCTCATTATGTCTTTAGTCTTTTTCTGTCTTCTCTCTAATGGTTTCTCAGGATTGTTGATTTTAATCTTTCTTTTGCTCAGTTGTATCTTTTAATGATATTTTCCCATTTTTCATTCATTGTGGATTTCCTTTCTAGTGTTCTACTCCTTCCTTCCTCCCTTTTCTCCCTCACAGTCCCAGTTTCTTTTGACTTTCTCCTCAAAGTCATTGGCATGTTGCTTCATGTTGATGGTTTTGTTATCCACTTTAATGTGCAGTTCCTCTCAAGGTATTCTGGGTACAATTCATCTGCTTATTTGTGTACTCTTTGAAGTCACTAATCATTTCTACTAGTAACTTTAAAATAGTTTTTTAAAAAATCTATTTCGGTATCTTAGAATTCAATAGCTGAGTAATTTTGATCTTTTTAGTAGGAGCTGAAGAAAGTGCAGCTGGGGCGGAAGAACAAAGCAAATTTAGGGTGACAGAAGTTTAGAGAGCTGAAAGTAAAGAGAATAGAAGGTTTTTAACACACTAGAGAAGAAAAACTTAAAGCAACAGTTCTAGAGAGCAAGCAAATATTTAGGGCCACCTTCCTGAGCTCACAGTAGATCTTAGATAGATGTTGAGCAAAAGGCCTGATACTTGAGTCGTGCCACACTTGAGAGTACCACCTGTGAGAGTTGCACCTGACTACTGCTACCACCCCTTGATACCAACCACAAGGGACAAAGAATGCCAAAGGCAAGTGGTTAAAGACCCTTTTCTTGCCTGTTTATAATTTCTATTTAGTTAGAGCAAAAAGACCCTACTTCCATGGAAGTAAAACATAATGTTGTTTTCTATTGGTCTCTGTATTTTTAGAATCTTTTATATGTCCACACATATTTTAGTATTGCTTTTTCTAGTTCTATGATGCATCTTATTGAAACATTTCTTAGTATTGAATTAAATGTACAGATTGCGTTCAGTGAAATATTTACTTTTTAAACTTTTTTTTTTTGGTCTGAGCTCTGTTGCATTGTCTCTCCTCTCACCTGCGCATGTACATCCTGTCTCAGAATAGCAATGTTATACAGTCGGCCTAGCTGAGCATCATGCATGATTTGTTAAATTCTAACACATGTGCTTGCGCTCTCTCTCTCTCTCTCTCTCTCTC